TCCAGAAGAAGAAGAGAAAAAGAAAGGGACTGAGAAAATGACCACACTGCAAGATACATAATAAGTGCTCAACAGATTACTACTGGGGATGAATAACTTCTACATGATTTTTTTTTTCTGTAACAGTGGAGCTACACAACTGCAAAATGGTACTGGATTTATAAAAGAAAATTCAAACAGCATTACAGCCTTTTCTTTAGTCCTATATGACAGTTGTCAACAGGGTTTTGAATGTATACGAACTAAGATGACACAAGCTAAACAGAACAAAGGTATCAGCTAAGCCTCATTTTGGAGTTTTGTTTTTTTTTTTTTTTTTTTGCGGTACGCAGGCCTCTCACTGCTGTGGCCTCTCCCGTTGCAGAGCATAGCCTCTGGATGCTCAGGCTCAACGGTCATGGCTCACGGGCCCAGCCGCTCCGCGGCATGTGGGATCTTCCCAGACCGGGGCACGAACCCGTGTCCCCTGCTTCGGCAGGTGGACTCTCAACCACTGTGCCACCAGGGAAGCCCTGGAGTTGTTTCTTTTCTATGAAACTTCGTGTGACCCCAATCTCTCATAAAGAAATAATCCACCCTTCCTTTGTGCTCTGTCTCTACCCTGGTACTGTGACATCTGTTACAACATCTGTATTATTTATTGTTTTTAGGTAACACATTTCCGTATGCTTAAGAAGGTCTAGTATATAGCAGGCACTCAATAAATCCCATTAAATGAATTAAAGTTATAAATAAATGTGTGATTTTCTGCATAATTTCCACAGACTAAAAATGCTGAGTGCTTTATCTTCTTCTTTCTGAAAATGGTAGGTGCATACCTGTCCTCTTTATTGACTTGAGAATAATATGATCTTTGTCTGATTGCAGAATAGAAGGAGAAAGCCTCATTCAGATAGCTGGTCTCAGATGTGCGCAGGCTATGAGAAGAAAAAGAAACTCTTTACATTTGACAGGATCTCAAACTCTTCACCATGATAAATACTTGTTCCATTATTCCTCTCTTCCTCTACTCCAGGGGATGGGAATGACTAACCTAAATCTGAATCAGCAAAGCAATAATCATATCACCCTTAAAATGTATAAAAAGAATAGTAACGATAATTTAAAAAAACACCTCCCCGCCGCTCCCAAGCCTCTTTTGATGGCAACCCAGAGTACACATTATTCTCATTCTTCGAAGGGCCTCTCCAAACAGCCTTCCACTCAGTTAAATCTTCCCACCTGGGACCAGGTCTTTCATGACCTTCCCCAAATTCATATAGTAATTTGTCCTTTGGCTCATTTCTTTAGTTTTTTCTCAGAGAACTCAGAAGTGGACTAATCCATATTAATCTTCATAGGATGCTGGTGAGTTGGATTTTCTGTTTAACATTTCTAGTTTGTTTTTTTAATCAGAGTATAGTTGACATACAATAACATTTGTAGTGTTACAAGGGATTTCTTAAGAAAATATTCTACCAGGGAAGGTGATTTTAATGACGGGAATCTGGGTGGCATGCCAAAACACAGGGAAAGGAAGGAATTTTCTGGCCTATTAAACTACAAATGGTCCAAGCCTTTTTATGAAACACCTGGTATCACTTAATGATTATGAGATATTTAGATCCTAAAAGGAGCTCTCTTCTTTCCTTGACTCATGGGTGGGACTATATAGATGATATTGCTCTAACGATACAATTTAAAGCATCTTTCTTGACTTCATGTAACCTTTTAGACATAGATGAGGATGAGCTTTAAGGTATCCTCCTGAAAACCACTCCTTCAAACATACCAGTTATGGTATGTCTCTGTACGGTATCAAGATTCAGGTGAAGCCATTAAGAACCATAAAATTCATTTAGTATAGATCTTTTATCTAAAATCAAGATCATACTCTTTTAAGTTTACAAATGAGTCTGACTAAACGAACTGTGTGGAAGGTGAGCCTCTGAAGCAAATAATGTCACTTTGATTATGGAAGGTCATTATGTCTTAATCAATATGATCTGAACTTTTAGGATTTCATTTGTAATTCCTCAGTTTTCCCTCCTACCAGGTATGTATCGATGCATACTTCTGCATGCTGTGTTCAAATCAGGACAATGCTTTATGTTTTCCATTTGCAATTCACTTACTAATAATGGTAGTATAGCTGCCCAATCTTAGAAGCAATTTCCCCTATTTGCCACCGCTTCAAGCCATACCGATTATCCAAGACTTGTCTGTTTTACATAGGAAATAAGAAAATAGAAATAAGAGAATATAAATTTCAAAAATAACCAAATATGTTAATTTAATAGGATAAAGTACCACCCTATTCATCATGAAATTTTGAATACATAAATTGAAATTCATGAATTTTTCATGAGATTTCACATAATCATTCAATTAAATTCAAAAAGCATTTATAAAATGTCTATTTAAAGTAAGCTGAAATATAAAAACAAACTTCTTTGAGGTACATGCATGAAAATTAGAAGCAACACCCCCCTGCCAAATAGCTTTGCCCAAAAACCAACATCTATTTTTAGAATGAAACCATGAATCTGCCTATCCATGTTAGAGTTAATCTGCACTATTTCAGATAATATTGTCTTTAAAAATCAAATAGTGTTTACATTTGAAAACCTTAAGTAAATAGGGAAAAATCAGTTTGCTTTCATTTGGGTCACAAAGATGAAATATATTAAGATACACGAAGAGATAAAAAGCACTGCGGTGGTATATATTAGTCAAAACTGTTGCTAATAAAAAATGGACCCTCACTCTCCTTTAACTGTAAAAATCCTTTACCGGTGCTGCTGCTGGAACTTCCAGAGTTTGGTGTAAACATCAAAAGTTCTTCCAAAATAAGACTGCCACTGCTTCTGCCCATATTGTGGCAAATCTCTGTAAGGACAAGTAAACATATATTAATTTTAAAACTCGTATGCTACTTGGAAATTGAGTCTTATGATGATACAAACTGGACGGATTTAAAGCACTTGCATTCAGGCTTTCCTTAAAAAAAAAAAAGTTACATTTTTTAGAGCAGAAAGAGTTCTATTACGGGGGTCCAGTACACATTCTTTCCTGTTCTTCTCTCCTACCTCTGACAGCTCATTTGTAGGCTCCTCTGTAGATGCCTCTCCCATGAGGTTTCTAGCACTATCTCCCTTCTTTCTGGGTGCTCTTATTCATACTCACTTATATACTGATAACTTCCACATGTTTGTCTTCAGCTAAGAACTCAGCACTTGGAAAAACATTGCTTTAGGGAATAAAGCTAGAAGTGGATGTGCAGGTGGTATTGTTGTTCTCAACTATTCTACCCCCTCCCTATAAGTGAAACTATATATCCTTGTCCTTGGGCCTGGCCATTTAACTTGCTTTGGCCAATGAAATATAAGTTATCTACCACATGTCTGAAAAGAAGATTTAAGAGGTATTACATGGTTCAGCATTTTTACTTTTCCCTCTGACCTAAGACCAAGATAGGGCTGCTCCTCAGCCTGGAACACAGAAGGCACATTTAATGGAGCCTCAGAACTGCAGACAACTTGTAGCTAACATGGGAGCCAGAAATAAATCTCTACTATAGTAAGGTACTAAAATTTTGGAGTTATTACAGCAGCCAGTAAAGTTATTACAGGAAAAGCCAGTAGAGAAACCGGTACCAGGAGCAGGTTATTGTCCTAAGAAATACATTATGTGACACTGGCATTGAGACTGAGTGTCAACTAACTGTTACTGAAGGCTGTCATATAATACAGTGGCAAAACTGCATTTGCCTGCAATAACTTGGAAAGTAGATAATGTGACTAATGAACTTGTGGATTTATACAAATAAGCCAGGAAACAGTATGCTATTAGGCACACGTAACAAAATATGGGAAAGAGATGAACTCAAAAAAGAACTAGCTGAGAGCAGGGCTGAAAAGGAAAAGAGGAAATCCACAAATTCCAGAACTTTCAAGATTGAAAAATACAACAATTTCTAATGCATAAATGTAAAAGACCCAGTTGAAAAATGCTAGCTATAAGCAGCACCTAGTCAGTCTCATCCCCAGGGCAAACCCTCTTCATTAAAGCCTGCGAAGAAATTTATGAAAGTGGCGCCAAGTACATTCTTTCAGGGGAACAAAATAGATCTGGGGAAAGAATCTAAGGATTTGGCTGTCTTGTAGAAGGCTGATAAGCTCAAGGTTACCTGTAAAAGAGTCTAGAAGAGAGAGAGGGGAGTGTCTCGAAATATTGTGGGCATGGCTGTTGGTACGTGGAAGCTAACCTGAATCAAACAGACAGAGTCAATGAAATCTTGAGAGCGTTGTACTCTCAAAAGCCATTTGTGTTATAAAGGAATAATAAATATTCATTGATTACATCATGGTACACTTCTTATCTCACTCATGCAACTGTGGACAGCTAGTAGTGGATGGCCTCCCTTGAATGTTTAGCCTGGCTGGCAGCTACGGTGCTGGGTCACATGTTTCTCATCATCTAACAGGCTAGCTTGGGTCCATTTACATGAGGTGGTTGCAAGGACCCCACCAGCAGCAAAAGGGAGGGCAGCTCAGATATGCATTTTTCTTTTTAAGTCTTTCCATCATGTTTGCACTGTCCCATTAGGCAAAACAAATCTCATGGCCAAGCCCAGCATCAGTGTGAGAGGGGGATGACTCATGGGCATGCATATGGGGAAGGGAATGACTTTTACAAACAATCTGTCACAGAGACCTTATGCTTTTCTTTCTTTTTCAATTTCTTTAAAAATTAACAAACAGGGCTTCCCTGGTGGCGCAGTGGTTGAGAGTCCGCCTGCCGATGCAGGGGACACAGGGTCGGGT